TTCTCCCCTACCAAGTTGAGATACTCCTCAACTCTCGTTTCTGAATCATCGGAATTCGAACGACTGAATTCCGGCGACGTGATCGTAGAATTTCCAGCCAGACCTATGAGACGATTCATCTTCTTTCTGGCATCCCCAGAAAGTGAAGCTTATTTTCAAAAGTTACCCACTCAACAGTATTTGGCTTCAGGCCGAAAATTTCCGTTATGTAATCTATAAAAAACAGTACATTTTCTTTTAGGTTTTTTCATGTTTTTTTAACCATAAAGATCAATAATATGATGAATATCAAGCTCACCCTTTAATGCTTTAAATCGGATAGGGTCGATACATCTTCGAACGTTGTTCCGAAAAGCTGGAGACGGCTTTCCAGTGAAGGACGAGTTGGCAATTTCTTCGAGAGTGAAAATCTCACCTTCGAAGATCAATTTGCGGGAGAAGAAACTTGGTCGGGAGACACAGCTAAGTTTAGCCAATTCCAGAAACGATTTTTTAACAAAGATCCCCGGTTTGATTTCGGTCTTCTCAGCTTCCTCAAATTGTGTGTCTGTCGCTGGAGTGATTTTTCTCATCATCCCTGCATAATAATTTTTAAAAATTAAAATAATAAGTTAAGGGCCTGGGAGAAGTTGCTTAGAAATCACGTCAACTTTGACGATAAAATTCAGCAATGCACAAGAGGGCAGATTTTTTAAATTATGTTTAATGCGTTAATCATATCTTTAGATTTTACTTGAATTTTTTTTGACGATCTGCCCTCTTGTGCAGTGGAGATATTTGGTCGTAAAGTGAGGACAAATTGGCTTAGAATTGCCAAATTAATGGCAGGAATTTATTAGTTTAAATAAATTTTAAAAAACAAACTTAGGTGAAGGACGCGCTTAAAATATTAAAACAAGAAGCATTACAAAATGTCATAATATCGTTTAATATTTATTAACTTTTACTTCACAGTGGGCCCAACTTTTTCATAATAATTAACAATAAATGTAACTAAACTAACGACTTGATTAATAAATAAGTGCACCGTTACAGGGAGAGTTACTAAAATATGCCAGAACATGAACAAATTTCCTCTATAACAGGTGTCGCGATTTATTGAAAGATAACCAATCACATCTTGCAAGCTTAATATACAAATACTACGTATTTCGAATAATTGTTCCAAATGCCTGAAAGTATAGCTTTTCTCCTGTATTAGTTGGGCCCACGGTGAAGTAAAGGTTAATAAATATTAAACGATATTATGACATTTTGTAATGCTTCTTGTTTTAATATTTTAAGCGCGTCCTTCACCTAAGTTTGTTTTTTAAAATTTATTTATTTAATTATTTTTAGTGATTTGTGAACTTAAATGCATAAAATAATATGCAATTATCAAATCTTAAAAGTTGATAATTCTCCTGTGGGTGGATGCGTGGTATACTAAAGTAATACCCCAGTGGGTGTGGACGTTTGGTATACTTATTTAATCCCCCAGTGGACGCTTGGTATACCAAATTAGTCCCGCAGTGGGTGTGTATGCGGCCCTACTAAATTAGTCTCCCAGGGTATGCATGCGTTAATATTTGTATTTCATGCAATTTGATCGCTGCTAATTGTTTCAGCCAAATATGCTAAACACACCTTACATTTTTCCCAGATAAATTAAATTTAAATTAATTAATTTAAGATGGCAGGAATTGCATTTTGAGTATCCATGGAACAAAAGAAACAACTTTTTTCAAAAACTTGAGGGACTTGAGGGAAACTTTTTCAAAAGCAGTGACAAAACCAAAGCTTTTGAACGTGAGTGTGTCCCATAGAAACGGTGTCAATTAATTGTGGTCGTAACCTAACAGAGCGATAATAATCTTGGGGCCCTGGCAATTATTGTTGCTAACATAAAATCAAGTAAATCTTCCCCCGGGCCCTTAAATAATAATGTCCAAATTAATAGCTAAATGTTATAGTGGAAACAGCCACTGTAGTATCAGCACGGTTGATTTTTGCTGGTATCAACTAGGAAATAAATATAGACGAGCAATAAATTTGACACTCGATGACAATGCATCTAATCAAGTGATTTATTTCATTTCATTCATGTCTATTACCTGATCTGGGTTGGAAATCTCATCATCTTGAGAACGTGAAATTAAATGCGACCTTTTATATCCCGTAATAGTTTCCGGTGGTGTTTCCTTTTCAGCAAAAGATTCGTTAGCAGCAACAATAGCTAGTCGGCTTTCCTCCTTTCTCATCGCCCTTTTCTTGCCTGCAAACGTATTTTGAGTATTTTAAAAAATGAGTTGTAGCTAATATGCGACTAATACTAGTTCAAATAATTAAATTTTTACTCACCAATTGCGATTATTTTTGCAATACATACTTCATTTTTCCACTTGATTCTGACTGACGTGCCGATTGGTTCTTGGTCATTACCTTCACTAAACTCTAAATCTTTCAACGACACAGTCGAATATAAGTTTTCGTCCTCCCAACATACGACGGCGTGGGTCATGTCACCGCAGGTATATTTAAAAGAATAGAAAATTGACCAGAGCGAGTAATTTAGGCTGACCAAAGAGAAACTAAAAAAGTATGACGAGGAGTGAATTCCAAATATGCCGCTCAGTATTTATCGGGGATGCTTGATATATTTCATGCCTTTTCGTCTAAATCCAATATGATTAATTCAGATGGGATATTGAGTTTTGTAATGCAAGTATGTTCCAATCAGATCCCGTTGACGTTAGCAATTCCATTGGGGACCTAGCAGTCATTTTCCTGTATAAAAATTTCCAATTGGATTTTTTACATGAAATGCATATATGCATCACATCTTATTGGAAATATACTGTAATCATAAGGGATCCGTAAGGATCCATCTACTGTTCAGATTCCCCAATGGATCCCAAGTCTCAGAAACGCACGGGATTCTAATTATAGCCGGTCTCCAAATATAGCCGGGTCTCGAGACCAAGATTCCAAAATTATAGCCGGGTCCCCAATTATGGCCGGGTCTCTAACTACGGCCGGTTTTGTCCGCTGTGTCCCCGTTCATAGCCCATTCAAGAAAAATGTTGCACATTATGCTAATCAAAGAATAATTTGAACTACTAATTTTTACCGGTTAATTTCAAGTTAATAATGGAAATAATCATGACAGAAAATTAAAAAATAGAACCTGCTAGACCTCGTTAAAAAATTAGATTTAAAGTCAATGGGTTGCTGATGGCGTATCTTGCTAAATAAGAAAACTAAAATTGAGTCAACATGAATTATATGTGATCTTAAAACATCTAAAATTTTGGGCGGAACAAAATTTAGCCGGGTCTCTAATTTTAGCCGGGTCCGGGACCCTCCGTTTTTGATTTTAGCCCCGGCTATAAATAGAGTATTTACGGTACTTATTTAATTAACCTGTTTCAGACTGTACACATAATACTAAAAGTTTATTAATACAAATATGTAATTCCCCCTGTTTAATTAACAGCTTGCTTATAACGAACTCCAAAAATAACTGCAAAGTGTGGACGATAAATTCGAACCGGTGCTGATTTTATTAGAATGTAAATATGACCTTTTACACTCCTTGTAAATGTTACGATATGTAATTACATAACTCGTTGTTTGTGGAGTTGTTTATCCTAAAGGACTACAAGAATCACAAATATATAAATACATTGTCAAACTGGGTATCATTGTTGTATAACCAACTCAATTTCACGTAATATGCGATACTTTTGCTTGCGAATAGTTTTAGTTTATAACAATATGTACAAATGTATATATAAAATAAATGGAATTCAGAAAGTTTTTTTTAATCAAAAAATTTTTTACATTGCCATTTGACATTTTCATTACAATTTTTACAACTAGCAAGCTTTTATCTACTTGGTGTGTATGCGTGAATGATCATTTTTTTCAAATTCGTGAGGGGATGAAAATAAGTAGCTGCACTCTTAAAAATAATGTTACCCTTTAGAAAATTGTATGCACAATGAACTCTAAATAAAGTAAACCATACTAAATCGGAAGTAATGTTAATTTGATAAGGAGTAAATTCTCCTCTAGATTTGGTACGGCTTAATTAGTAAATACATACATACTTACATGTAAAATTCACCTTTATAAAGGGTACCATTTATTTTAAGAATGTGTTCTTGTTATGTCGATAAATCTTCAGATAAAAATGTATACTCGTTCCAAGAAAAAAACAACAATTTGGCTGATCGTTTACTTTTCCATTCATTCATGCGACGTGATTATTTATATCGAATTATAATACTTGCCTGACAAGCAGGAGCATCGTAACCTCGTCATGTTCGCTGTGCAATGAGTAGACCAATTTGGCCAATGAGGACAACTCTTCACCGACAGAATCATTGATTTTGATGCACCTTGGAAATGTTGTAGTACTAGGCGAGTCTAGCAAAAGTGAAGAAGGATATCATTCCGTGGCCCCATTTGCGACTCAAATGTGCAAAAAACTAAAAATACCCTGTTTTGATTTATTAATAAATCACAAATAAATAGTTCTATTTTGATCTGATTTTCGTAATTTAAGCATTTTTGTGATCTTAGCTTTATCATGTCCCGTAACGAGCTAACTTTATTTGAAATGTCATTTTTTTCGAAGGTCAAGAAATAGTCGAAAACACTTAGTTACCAAAGTAGATGCAATTTAATACGCAGTTTCAAACCACTTTGAGCAACTCGCATACATAAAAAATGCAACTGAACCGATCGATTCAGTGTTGCAGGTTGCATTGGAGGTCACGAAACCAGTTTATCTTTCTATTTACACAGATAGATATTTAAGGAATTGAGGAAGTGGTCTAGACATTTTTTATGATTCCTGCATAACTTCACCTCTTACATATGTAAAACTGGGTTTCCAACCCCTCTGTTCCCAAATTTGCAATATTCGTCCCTCTAAAAATCGAAATGCGAAACAGGTTTATTGCCATTGACTTTTCTCGATTATGTTAAAATAAGCCATACACAAATTTAGACCAGGAATGTCATTTGCAAAATTGGGCCCGACTTGAGTTGACCTCACTTTCTGCTTCTCGAAAAGAAGAAATTTTTTGAAGAAACTTTCAGATTTAAATTCACATTCATGGAAAACTCGTCCCTTCTGGTAAATGAATGTTTTAAGTTACTTTAACCTGCGTCGATTGATTGTTTAATACACCAACTTTTATTGAAACAACGAAGTGTGCACTCTTAATTGCTGTGAGTGAATTTTTTCACGCAAAATGCTTAAATTATTTTGGACAGTTTAAAAAATTGTGTTTCCCCTTTTGAAAAGTAAGTTCTGTCTGAAAAATAAATTTCTTATTTATGGATCTTGATCGGACTAATTTTAAATCGTTCAGTTTCAGAAATAAGCGGACCCGGATTATTGCTTTGGAAAGAATGGACATGTTTTCACCCGTGGAGGAATTTAAAAAAAAACAAAATATCTAAGGAGTTTGCAAGACGCTATAACTTTCCGAAGTTTAACCCGATTACAAAAATTAAACACAATTTTCGTGCAGAACTACTTCCCTGAAAATATTTTTTTTTTAATTTATTGAAGGGTTCAATATTTTATATTTTCATACAATTTCTTAGGTTTTAAATTTTTTGAAAATTGGAGGTTTTTTGAAAGTGGATTTTCATATTTAGAGGGAAGTTATTGTGAGCAAAAATCGTGCTTAATTTTTTAAATCGGGTTAAAATTCGAAAAGTGACAGCGTTTAAAAAATCCAGATTTGGGCTGAGACTGGGTTTTTTTCCACCACGGGCGAATATATTTGCATTCAGGAAAACGAAATATTCCTGGTCCTCTTATTTCTGAGCGTGAACAATTTCTGTCAAAATAGAAGATAACCAATGAAATTTTGAACTTTTCGACAGGGAAACCCAATTTCTAAGATTCTGTAAGGTAATTTGTATCCAAAATTTACACACGGATCAAATTAACTTTGCAACACTAACCTGCTTACACTATATATTTACGGGGAAAATTTGTCTCAAAATGTATTTACAAACAGTGTACAGGTTACAAATGATACATATAAGATGAGTTTAAAAAAAATGAATCAAGATGAATCTCAATTGAAGATGAATAAATGATCTGAAAGTTTCCCTGACTTAAAGGTATTCCTACTTTTCGCCATAACCCCGCACATCTCGGTATCCCTGCTCGAGGAGGAGTCTTCACCTATTGTGCAGTTCCAAGATGTCAACACCACCTTGGGGCACTTAAGTCCAGGGCTGGTATCCACGCTGGACGGGAGCAGAAATCTGGTTCCATCACATTTCAAGTATCCGTCCCTTTAAGAAAGGAACTTAATCGGAATTTTTTCTCTTTTCAGACCCTCCGCCAACAGGCCCGCCGGTCCAGGCAGATCAACTACTGTGTCAATCTCCTCAACTACGCGGGAACGTATTACCCTCAGTCGGAAGTTTTTCCAGGGCCCCCGCAACAAAGGCCACCCTACCCGCCCAATCAGTATCAGTCCCCGTGGGGAGGATATCCCTACCCGGTAAATAAACAAATTTTGTAACACTTCTATCCTCCCAGCCAAAAAAAATTCACTGCACCACGGGTTTTGGATTTTACTGGGTTACAAATGAGTAACATCGAACCGTAATATTTAAGAACTATACATACATGCACGTTGCCTGGGAATCTCCCAGTTGGACATTAACCCGAAAAATTAAACGTCAGATTTCAGGAATTAATTCAAGTGAAATTCATCCTTTGAAAAATTATTTTTCAACTGACCAGAGAACATACCGATGTGTCTAACGAGTTAAGGTCGACACTTATACCAAAATGACCACAACAAAAAAATTTCCGTGTAAAATTCACTTTTCGTCACGTTGTGACGATATTTGTGACGAGCGCATGACCATCGGGTTGCCAGAGAGGGAGAGGTCCGCCCCTGAAATCAGATCGACCACAGAGAAGCGTCGTCGTCTCCACGTCTTCAGACATTTCGAATTCCTTAAAATTTTGAAAAAACTGTGAAATTTAGAAGAAATTTAGAAGAAATTTTGATATTTTGATGAAATTTTGAAAAACTTTTTGAAATTCTTAAGAAATTTCGAAATTTCGAAAAAAATCGAAATTTTTAAAAAAGTTTTGAAATTTTGAAAAAATTTTGAAATTTTGAAAAAATTTTGAAATTTTGAAGAAATTTAGAAATTTAGAAGAAATTTTAAAATTTTAAAGAAATTCTGAAATTTTGACAATGATGAAATTTTAAAATAATTTGAGATGTGTAAGTTATTTGAAATTTGAAATCTCTGAAGACACCATGTGTTCGAACTGATCGTTCAGCGGCCGATCTCTTCCTCTCTGGCAACCCGATGGTCATGCGCTCGTCACAAATATCGTCACAACGTGACGAAAAGTGAATTTTACACGGAAATTCCTTCAGTGTGTTTAATAAGTCATTTTGGTAGACCCTTAATCGTTGGACACCTCGTATGTTCCCTTGTCAGTTCCATAAATTTGGAATATTATTCTACCTTAAAGATATTAGCTTAACCTCTTAGCGAAGTACACACATTTGTGTAGTATTTTATTTTTCCGTTGACGACGAAACACACAAATGTGAGTACTACAGAAATTTCCTGGACGCCAAAATTTCTTTAAAAAAAGAATATTTCTTCGGTATTTTGAACCGAAACTTTATGGTGAACAGTGAATTTTTTTTTCGATATTTTTCTTCTAAAATTTTGAAATTTTCCCTATATCGACCAATGTTAAAAAGTGGATTGTTCGTGTTTTTCGTCAAAAGAACTCGAGTATTGAACTAGAATATAAAAAGGTTCCCCAAAATTAGTTCATTATATCGTCAAACCGTTTAGTTTAAAGTTAAACCGTGGGATTCACCAACTTTGCAAATCTATTTCACAACAATTCCACAATTTATTCATTTCGTCTTCATTTCCAATTTCCAGCAATACGGTCCCAGCAACTTGGATAAACCTTGTGATCAAAGAGCTTCTATCGGAGCCTACACTTTTACGTCGAACTGCCACCCTCCCAGCGAGACCGGCCCCGCCACTTGCCCCAAGTACAGCAAGACTAAAGCCGTCTACACGGGCCCCAATCAGTTTCTCAAGGGCTGTCCCGCAGGTTTGATGGGTTACTGCTGTTGCTGGGATGTGGGTGGAAACATTTGTGAAGAAGTCAAATAATAAATGATACATGTATGTGCATATTTTACTGTTTGTGTGGTTTCATTTTTCAAATTTCCGTCACGCCGTGGGAGAAGAGAAGGTTTATTTTATTCTTTTAATCGCACATACCCCCAGTCTCACCTAAACAATCCTGTTTAGGATTTAGTTTACACTAATTACATATTATGGTGAATAAATATGACCGTAGTAACGTTAGAAGTAGCTCACCCTGTCAGAATGATTGAGACAAAACTTTGCACCGAAGGTGTGGAATAAGCCAACAAAACAGGTCATAACTCGAGCATATTCTTGCACCTAGGGTGCAACAGAAACGCTAATCCTTTGCACCATTAGTGCCGCATTAGCGAATATCCGGGATCCATAATTTTGAAAACTTTGTCAAAATTGTATGATAATTTCTCCCGGATGTTCTGCACTATTGGCGCGTTTTGCGTCCCTTCCTCCAATTATTTCGCATCATTTTGTGTTACCGATTGTTAGATATCAGCGGTGCTGTCAATTTATTAAAAAATTCGATTCAGTTTGTTCAATACAAATGGTGCGCCTAACTTGTTAATAATGGTCAAGGGGATTATTAATTAGCATCAATTGATGCAAAAAACTCGTTAAGGTACCACAAGAGAGTTGGCAAGGAATTATACCACTCAGTTTGATTGTAATTTTCTCAGAAATTATAGTAGGTAGAAATTTGGTTCAAATACAAATTTTGTAAAAAAATTACTACTCTAAATTTTGGTAAATGTCCCCTTCTGCTGTTACTTATACTTACGTATTTATATCCAAAATAGTCGACCATGATGAATTTTTTTTAAAACGTCCTAGCGTCAAAACCATACGGAGCACAAACGTGGGACGACTCCCACATCGTGCGAAATAGTTTTACTTGGGGAGCATAATGGGTCTCATTTCCATATTGTCTTCCATACTTTTCGAAATAGCATTTCTATATTTGCCCCTCCATATTATTTTATGTTTCTGAGGACAAAAATGGTTCACATCTCTTTACCTGACACAAATGAGCCCACAAACCGATTATACACCCTGCAGAAATATAAAATGATTCCAAATAACAACCATTATGACCTTAAAGTCCATCCCCTCCATCTCGGGGAGCTCTTAAAAATGCCCCAATGCCCTTGTTGTTATGCGGAGCCGTACTTCATGTCTTGACTCATTTTCTCTAAAAAATCATGTTGCTAAGTCCAGAAAAAATTGAAATATTCAACCTCTTGTGGTACCTTAACACACAGACAGACGGACGGACGGACAAGAGGAATTCAATAGCTCTCATGCTACGCAGGGTGAGCTAATAAATATGAATATCCTGTCATTTGATTGAAAATGACGGAAAGATTCTACTAATTCAGATGAATGAATGCGAATGAAAGCATTTCTCACTCCGTTCATTTTTCATAAAATGCTTCAAGTGGAGCGACGAAAGTAGCAGAGAGATGAAGTAAGATGAAATTGGTTTGAACAAAAAATGACTGAATGCGACTGAAAATCTGCAGTCCGAGATCACATTTTTTTACATATCAATGCACGTGAACATACCGTTTCATTTTTAATGCAGGTTGCGAAACAAGTTTCTTTTTAAGCTTCACATATGTAAATAATAAAGGAATTGAGGAAGTGGTCTACATAGACATTATTTTAAAAATTGCATCCACACAAATGCATCTGGTCATAAATACATTTTAAATATGGTTTCCAACCAGACTTACAATTGCATCATGTCGTGTCCCTCTGATCCAAAAGTGGAACTGGTTTGCAATAAATTTTTGCGATTTAATCGAGAAAATTATTTATCGTCCAACCAGAGGCCGTGTATAAAGGGTGTGACCATATGGCCGATTTTCGGGGAATTTTGCTCACTACCCCCTGGTGTGAACTATGTTATGCTCCATGTTATAATTAACATGGGAAGGATAGGGTGCCTTCACCGTTACCCTTCTTAAATTGAACACATGCTTTCTGCACAGTCCCAGCAGTAAAAATATCCGACAATAGTTTAAAGTCAAGGATGCCATTAGTAAAATTGGCCCCGAGTTGGACTCACCTCTCCGCCTTGTTCTCGACTAGTGGAAATATTTTAATATTTAAATTCGTAATTTATCCCAGCCATGAAAAACTTGGAACTTGTGGTAAATGATTTTTTTAAATTTGATCTCAATTTTATTTTGTGTGCGTATATGCAAAGAGTGTCACATTCTTCTTATGGGCTCTAATTAAATTACAAGCGAATACAAAAATTTCAAAGTTTTGTAAAATGTCGAAATTTTGTAAAATTTCTTGGATAACGTTACCCTTTTGAACAATACATAAAACCAGTCTATTATACTAAATAAATCCAGAGAAACGTTGAGGAGTATTTAGAGTTTACTCCGGAATTATTCAAACTGATATACATAGTGTCAAGTACAGGGTGCATTTATTTTCGAAAAGGGTAACATTATTTTTTAGGGTGTACTCATATATATTTATTAAAAATGATAAATGAGTCGAAATAAGACAAGTATTTGCTTGCAGGGTATATTTATGAAATGGGAAAATTTGTGTAAAAATGTATGGGTGCAAATTTTCTACTAGAATATTTTAATCAATCAGCTTTCATTACCCGAAGGTATTCCTAGTTCTGTCCGTAATCGCACTAATTTCGTCATCCCTGTTCGACGTCGAGTCTTCGGCGCCCATCCTACAGTTAAAAGATGTAAACATCACACGAGGGGACTTAAGTCCCGCGATGGTTTCCACACTGGACGGCAGCAGAAATCTGGTGCCATCACATTTCAAGTATCCGTTTCCCTTGGATAATATGACCTTAATCCGAATTTTGACCCTTTTCAGGCCCTCCGCCAACAGGCCCGCCGGTCCAGGCAGATCAACTACTGCGTCAATCTTCTCAACTATGCGGGTACGTATTACCCCCAGGTTCAAGTCTTCCCGGGTCCTCTGCAACCCTACCGGCCCAATCAGTACCCAGGGTATCCTAATCCAAACCAGTCCCCGTGGGGAGGATATCCTTACCCGGTAAATAAATACTTTTAGCGTTTTAATTAAACTTGTCTCAAACTCGTCGCTTTCCGCCAAAAATCCTGTGTGACCCATGGTCTAGATTTTACTGCGTCACAAATGAATTCAAGGTCGTGAATACTAAATACGTTACCCGGATTTACCCCAGCTTGACCCACAAATTGAACCAGATCTCTACATTCAATTGGAATTAAACCCTGCAACCAGGGTGTGCCACCCAGGGTTTTTGAGGTATTGGGATGTGGGGTGTTCTGAGGTAGCAAGTTTGAGCAATAGGGGTTTTCAAATTTAATAAAGTATGACAGCAGGGAAAAAGTATGGCAAAAATTAGCGAATTAATTTTCGTTCATGATGAATCCGAAAATTTAATTAGCATTGATCTCCGTTGTAGTTTAACGGATTTTGTTTCAATCTGCCTCAAAATCCTACAAAAACCCCGGAAAAATCCACAAAAACCCGGGGTAGCGTACCCTGCATGGAGGACGATTTGAGTATAACGCATATCGACTATGTTTTTACTTTGCCCCACTTTTTACTTGGCAAAAGCTGGAACAGGATTTAGTTTCACTCAAAGATTTTCAAGGTTCTTAGCATTGGGATAATTTGAGATAGGGGATCTATGTATATGAACTATTTACATATCTATGTACTGAACGAATTGTTTCTATTGATTTGAAATTTTCAGCAATTCGGTCCACCTCGTGGAAAATCCTGTAAGGATAGAGGTTCCTTTGAGAAATACACGTCTTCCACCTTATGCTACCTTTCCGACACGGGACCCCAAACTTGTCGCTCGCTCCAGAGCGATGCCGTCTACACCGGGATCAATCCGGATGCAGACTGCCCCCTAAATTATTCCACATTTTGCTGCTGCCGTCCAGTCAACGGGGTAAAATGTGACCCTCCTCCGTTATAAATAATATACAAATTATGCATGCAGGTGCTCGTAATTATTTTACATGCATTTCGGAAATTTTTGTTGCATCGAAAATATCGTGAAAACCTTTAAAGCCCGTTAAGATTTTTGAAATCTTCATTAAATATCCCGTATTCAACAATAAAAACACCCTTCCAAAATGCAAAAACACAATAATTTGTGAAATGACCGCGAATGGTGCACGTAATCATGGAGACATTTTAGCCCGACCGAGGACTTATGTACCCGTGTTGTCCATCAGTCCGTCTTGCGTCTTGACCTTCTTGAAACTTATTCTATCAACTTGAAATTTCGGAAAATTAAAAATGACAAAGTAACAGTACAAAATTTGAAGTCGATAGGATAGATTTACGAGAGTTATTGATAACCAGACTGGCAGAGACACACCGGGCAAAGCGGGTACATACATACGTACGTAACCCCTGACTAGGGCTAAAAATCGGATTTTTTTTCAAGATGCGTAAATCCATGGAAAAATTTATTTTTTGAATTTTTTCAATGAGAGGAAATATCCTTCACTACGCAATAAGGTCAATTACCAGAGGAAAGGATATTTCCCTCTTTCCGTAGCTATGCCGAATTTTGAGACAACGGATAAATCCGTTGCTCCGTCGCAACGCCTTGGAAATTAGGATGGAAATATCCTATATATGGAAATAACCAAGCCATTATTTTCCAGAGCCCCCGCAACAAAGGCCGCCCTACCGGCCCAATCAGTATCCCTTATCCGCAGGGAAACCAGTTCCCCTGGGGAGGAAATCCATACCCCAACCAGTCACCCTGGGGAGGATATGCCTACCCGGTAAATAAACACTTTTAACATTTCAATTAAACTTGTCCCAAACCCGTTTCTGTCCGCCAAAAATCTCATGTAGCCTATTTTTTCAAACCGGGTCGTTTCTAGTATCGAAAATTGGCTTTAATAGCTTAAAATATCATAAGTTGCATTTATCATTGTACTCATGGAATTGATTCCATTTTAGAAATTACATTTAAAAACATTGGTCTAACGTTTGATCATTTGAATAAGAGACTTTTTTTTACATGCAA